ACTCTAGTGGAAACGATCTGATTTTACAACTATGGCCTGCACACTTCCAATGACACTGCAATAAGATAATTTCTCAAGCACCGTACACCTGCCGAGTAATTAGAGGCCCTGCTGTTAATTACAGTTTGATCATGCATTGAAATTCAATCAGGAGAGCTCTAAATAATGGACCACAACTGGTATGTAATGCTGGCCATTATCACAAAATAAACCCCGACAGTGTGAATAGGTCTTGTGTCTCCCTCAAGGGGTTTATTTTGTCATACTGATCAGCTGATTATACATTAATGTATGATTTACTGTACATTGTTCTGCTTAGCAGACAGATACCAATTACATATGGACATAAAATAGTGACTGATTGAGTTGAAATAACTATATGAAAACATAGAGCTAGGAAACAGTCATTACATTTAAGTAATGTAATACTAGCAAATGCACTGTCCGCCTTAATGTAAACACAGACACGAAATGTACCACACAACAATAGGACTGTCTGATTGGATTCTGTGTACAGTACGTCTTGGGGAAAAAAAATGTATGAAAGGGTGTTGTTTCTGAAATCATATTTTCCCCCTGAACATTCCTATATTTTCTTAGGCCTTTTTTGTTTAAAAATCCTTCTCTCTAAAACATTTCCAATTAGGAATGTACGACAAAAACAGTCCAAATCGAGATGTAGCTATTGTTATAGTTGAAACCAACTCGACAACCAAAACATATAGCAGTATCATTTCAGTGGCAGAGATTTGTAAGACTTTATTTTCTAAGATGGACTGAGGCTCTCGACTGAGCCTTTAAGGCTTTAAATTCTGACCTCTTGAGCTTTATTTGAACCAATTGCACAAGGACATTTTTCTTTCTATGGTGTTACATAAATGACTAAAAAGGATTACATTTTTATCTCTCACTATTCATTTCAAAACATTTTATAAAGATTGTTGACTTGAGATTGTTTTTTTTAAACAGTAACATTTTGATCAAACCAAACATTTAAGTGTATTAATATTACCATAAACTGCACAGGCCAAACATTAAGCAACATTTCTAACGAACAATTGGCAGAATTTCAAAACCAGCAATTTTATAAATGCATAAACAACAGAGAAGTGTGATTTATAGTCATTCGTTATAGTTGGATTGTTTGTTTTCTAAATGTCAAATGAATTTGGTTTTGTGCTCTTGGCAGACAATAATTCACTGCTCATAATAATGTGTTCAGAAACCATGTTTATCCTCTTGGCAAGTGAACTTGTATTTAATGTTTGCATTACATTGCATAGTTTCATTCATGGTTATCAAGAATGAGGGCATGTCAAGAACCCTGTCTTTGTTGGCATCTGTCTAATCTAGTTGCTTCTACCAAATAAAACATGAATTGGTGCCAAACATACAATAGAGTTTAATGGGCACAGACTTGAAAATAAACAACAAAAACACTTATCCCTCTTAAGCCTATTTATGTTGTTATTCTATCTATGTATTATTTTATGCATGTGACCATTTCAGAACAGATCTGTGAAGCACCAGTGGAAAAGCATTTCTCTAATGATGTATTTCTACAATTATCTAATATATATCTCACTATGTGTGTAGCCTTCAACAAGTCAGAATCAAATTTACGGATGTAAACAAATGTGAGAATGAAAACAAACTTACACAAGTGCTGTTGGCCTCTGTATTCAACTTTGTGCATTTTAATCGTTGTGCATGTTCTGGCATACAATCTTTCGCAGGTATATTCATTTCTTTTTTATTATTTGAAAATACAAATATAAAATTATACTTTCCACATCTGAGATGTGAGAGACCCCCATCCACTTTAGTTTATTTTACAACAGGGCTTGAGCAAGCCATACAAGAAGACCTGAAAGATGCTTTCAGACGTCAGTCCGTTCAGTCAGTTCTCGTGGTAAAAAGTCCGTTAACATTAAAAAATGGGCAAGTGTTAGGAATGGGCAAGGCAATCAGCGAGGCTGAAGCCTCAGGACAAAATGCGAGACCGAGTGTCAAAAATAAGACCCTCCACCTATTGACACCATATACACGTCCTTGTCAGGTTTACACGACACATTCTGCAGCTAAACTACAACCGGGCCTCCTGTACATCTGCTGCAGCTCTTACACGACACATGATTCAACAGCCAGAGGAACAAACAATGTGGACTAGCATCAGTTCACCTACGATGATGAGTCATGAGGCAGTTTCAACAATTTAACAAAGAGAGATATATATATACACTATACATATATACCTTGTATATGTATACAAGTATACTGTACATTAGACATTACAGTGTAGAACATTTTGCTTTATTAGTGGGATGATCGTTTTGGCCATTGCCTAGCACTTGCCACAAAATTCAAGTTTAAATGGATTCGGTAGTTCACTCCCAAAATCACCCAACACCTTCCAGGTCATTTTCTTTTTTTAAACCAACAATTTTCCAATGATTTAACTAGTCTAGCAAGATGTGTAACATTCATCCGCTGTAAACTGCTGTCCACGGAAAACAAAATGATGGCAACAGAGCCATGCTACCTTAAAGTCCAAGCTACGAGATCAAATTACGGAAAAAAAAAACAGTAAGCTAACCGATGCGAATGGAAAAGACTGTTTAAAAGGGTTGCCAGCCTTCATTTTAATCAAGAGTCACCGAATCATGCACTTATTTGACAGCAGAAGGGAAATGTGCTTCATCTGCTGTTAAACATTCGCAGACCATCTAAATGTGTATGAAGACCTAAATGGATGCTGGATACTCAACTTGTTAAGAAAGAGACATCCAACTAAGAACAACTAACCACTTAGTGTTGCAGTTTAAAAAGATGTCTTCAGTAAGAAAATGCTGTGCACGGTTCATCCCGACAGCACCTTTTTATTTCGCTCAAATGTATTGAATAAACTTCAGTTAGAAACCACCTTTCATTAAAAGTTGTGCTGTGCTGATCGTAACTCACTAGTAGCATAGCAATCTCCCCAGTGAAGGTGGTACATTGGCTCATGTTTGATATCCCTGAGAACTGATGTGATTCAGGAATACAGATTCAGAGTGACACTAGATTTACAGTAAAGTCAAGCTAATTTGCGTGACATCAGAACAGACAATGATGCTGTCTGGTACTGAATTTAGGAATGCTGAATTCAAATGAAAAGCTGGCAATGCAATTAAAAAGTACAAAAACAATCATATTGTATGTTACGGGTGACTCAAAACTAAAGTATGTATTAATCTAGGCATAAAAATAAAATCCCCCCCAAAAAAGTATTTATATAAAAAAAAGTAGCGCTGTAGGCCACTGGGATATTTTTGAGGAGTATAAATATCAAAAACCTATTACAGTTTTACCCATATCTATACTGATTAGGCTATATCATCATCATTACTTTGTTAGAACTTACTAAAAAAATATTTATGAATTTTTCATTCACCTAATAAAATCATCCTCTTCATAATTATAGCTCATGTCCCTCTTAAAAAAAAGAATGAAAGTAAAACGGTTTTGCATATCTAGCGTTAGCATTTAAGGTAGTATGGCACACCCCTTTTAAAACATTCAAGGGTGGGGATCCAATTAATGCCTTGATTACAATTCTGTCGTACAGCAATTTCTTTCTCCTAGATTTCATCAGTGAGAGCTTTGGTTAGTTGAAACCATATGAGACCAGCAAAACAGTGGAATAAAAAAGGAGAAAAAAAAGGAAAAATTACTATGAAAACAACGCTCAGCATTTTTTGTCTTTTTGTCTTTAAATGATTATAAAGAGAAAGTTCTATCCTTACTGGTCCTACAATTGCTAATGAATACCTCTACATCTTAACATTAAGTACATAACACCTACAACTACTCACTAAAGAGAGAGTGAGATATAGAGAAAGGGCAAAACGACAAAAGGAGAGTGAGAGGGGGGGAAATGTGAAAAATACCAACCAATAAGTGTATAGACCACTACACTGGTATCAAGACAGCACTCTTTTAACAAGGTAAAGTCATATTCCTGTTTTTTTTTCTTTTTTTGTTGTATTTTTTTTTTTTACACACTACTGAAATACAATGATCAACATAAGATTACTGAATGAGGTGACAGGGAATGAAGAGAAACAATTGATAAATACAGTACATAATATCTGTATTATTGTCAAAATAGAAAATGATAAATTCTCTCTCACAGTGCAATTATTTACTTAATTTCAAAACAACACTTTAATATCTTTTTCAATATCTGTCTCAGGCTAAAATAAATTACTTTGTAATCTCCTTTAAAGTAATTCTCACAGGACTGAGGTAATGGTATAAAAGATTCGTTTTTTCTAATCGTAGAGCAATTTCAAAACATTTTGAAATATTGCTTTTTTTTTATTCGAATCGTAAAAATCTCGACACACATGGACACTCGTTGGGAAAAAGAAGCTCGTACTAGAATGCGAAATGAAATGCTAACATGAAATGTCTCGACACGGTTTGAAATCGTAATTCATGTGTGCTTTGGATTTTGTGGCGATTTTTTTTCTTTTGTTACAATGCTGATTTCTGTATACCTTGTAAAGTATATTGTCTTTGTAAGCTGTGCACATCTTAACGTACTATCTAATCCATATGCTGGTATGACACCTGCACAGTTGTAAAGCCGACGGTATTTACAAAGCGAGCTAACAGTGTTCGATTGAGTTTAGTCCGTACTGGGGTAAATCACGGTCTTTGTGCTACAGATGGACCTCAGTTACTGCATTGACCCTCGAAGATATTTTTGCACTGACTTACTGAATGAGGTGACAGGGAATGAAGAGAAACAATTGATAAATACAGTACATAATATCTGTATTATTGTCATTGTTATATTTAGTATAATCATTAACATCCACAAAAATATTGATAAAAATCCATCCCTATTTAAATTCAAAACATGTTCGGGATAATTTTCTTTCTTGCTTTTTTTGTTGTTGTACGTTTGTCTTTTTTAAAACAGCTCAAACAGTTAGCACAAAGTTCTTCTTGACTTATTTTTTTAAATCGTATTACTTTTATCACGTCTCCTTCTTGAGAAAGAATCCAGCATTCTGCCTCACCTGTTAGTTTAGTGAAATGAACAAAAAAACAAACAAAAAAAATGTAATAAACAAAAATACAACATTTTCAACAAGATCGAATAACAGCATCAGTCAATTCATATTTCTAAATGCCATTTGTGTCTCATCAAATCCAGTCCCCACATGAACAACAAATGTGTGTAGCAGCTACTGGCTTCAGTGTTTCTGAGGAAATGAACTATTGCTACCAATAAACTCATCTGTCATCTCTGATATTCTAGAATAAAATAGTACAGTCTTCGAATCAATGCAAGCCAAGACTCGAGATTCGTAAGTGTTATCCTGCGTGGAAAGAAACAAACGGCTTCCACAGCGGTCCTTCACATGACCCATGTTAGAGACTGTCAGCTCACATGTGCAAATAGAAAATGATAAATTCTCTCTCACAGTGCAATTATTTACTTAATTTCAAAACAACACTTTAATATCTTTTTCAATATCTGTCTCAGGCTAAAATAAATTACTTTGTAATCTCCTTTAAAGTAATTCTCACAGGACTGAGGTAATGGTATAAAAGATTCGTTTTTTCTAATCGTAGAGCAATTTCAAAACATTTTGAAATATTGCTTTTTTTTTAATTCGAATCGTAAAAATCTCGACACACATGGACACTCGTTGGGAAAAAGAAGCTCGTACTAGAATGCGAAATGAAATGCTAACATGAAATGTCTCGACACGGTTTGAAATCGTAATTCATGTGTGCTTTGGATTTTGTGGCGATTTTTTTTCTTTTGTTACAATGCTGATTTCTGTATACCTTGTAAAGTATATTCTCTATAAGCTGTGCACATTTTAACGTACTATCTAATCCATATGCTGGTATGACACCTGCACAGGTGTAAAGCCGACGGTATTTACAAAGCGAGCTAACAGTGTTCGATTGAGTTTAGTCCGTACTGGGGTAAATCACGGTCTTTGTGCTACAGATGGACCTCAGTTACTGCATTGACCCTCGAAGATATTTTTGCACTGACATATTTCGGCTTGCGCACGATACAACTTCTGACGCCATCACAAAAATATGGTTCTCTCTCAGAAACAGTTTGATGCAGTGAACAGAATAATATATACAGTTTCAGAATTCTTTTCTTTTTAAATCTCATTTCACAAAGTATTAAAAGGAAAGCTTTTTCTTTTCTTTCTTTTTTTTTTTCATCGACAACAAAAATGACATTTATAAAAAAGGACTGTGAAAATATTGTAGTCCTCTTATTGCCCAAAATAGGTAATCATGGTTAACAAGACATCACAATAAACAGAGAACAGAGCTACTAAGATTTTTTTTGAGTTACCCACTCATTGCGGTTTAGGCTTGAATTAAAAATGTCATTTCAATCCGGTTTCTTGCTTGTATGAAATGAAACCTGAAAATGTGATAGACGAGGGCTGTGAAATGACTGCTATTGGAAAAATTACTACCTCAAAAAACAAAAAAATAAATTTTATGTTTACATAGTCGCTCTCATCAGAGAACATTCAAGAACAACGAAGAACATCTAGAAATCAAATAAACATTGGTTGATTCAACATGTACACAATAAAAGATGAAAAAATGCTTCTAAAAGGAAAAACAGTAAAGGGGAAAAAATATAATCCTAATTGAAGGTCAGGGCTACACTAGGATAAAATATTCAAAAGCCAGGTTTTCAGTATAGTACAGCAGATTGTTTAGTTGTTTTCTTTCTTCTTTCTGAGATGATTCTGATATTTCGGTTTGTTCTTCGTGTGGCGCCATCTCAGCTTTAGATTCCCATTCAACGCTGTAGTGCTTGAAGTTTAATGGCCTTTACCTGTACACAGAACCAATTAGAAACTCCGGCCAGTCTTCCCCGGGCCTCCTGATAAACTCTGCTGAAACAAACAGCACATACTTTCAGTTAAATGGTGTGTGTGTGTGTGTGTGTGTGTGAAATGTGCTGCATCTGAGCCTTGCTGGTGACATCATAATCTTACCTCCATGAACCTTGTCACTAACAGCCACAAGTTTGGACACATTTGACTTCCAAATGTATGTTTCTCATTATCTTCCAATTAATTTGTTTACAAATACACTACTGTTCAAAAGTTTGGCATCAGTAAGATTTTATGCATTAAATTAATCAAAAGTGACAGTAAAGACATTTATAATTTTACAAAATATTAATATTTTCAAATAAATGCTGATCTTTTTAACTTTCTATTCATTAAGTAATCCTTAATAAATAGATAATATTGAGAAATATTAATAAAAATAAATGTTTCTTGATCCTTAAATCAGCATATTAGAATGATTTCTGAAGGATCATGTGACACTGTAGACTGGAGTAATGCCCTGCTTTGCCATCACAGGAATAAATTACATTTTAAAATATATCAACTAAAAAACATGTATTTTAAATTATAATACATTTTACAATATTACCATTTTAACTGTATTTTGATAAAAAATTAATGCAGGCTTGGTGAGCATAAGAGACTTTTACTTTCAAAACCTTATTTATTTATTTAAAATGTAACTGTTCATTATTTTTTTTAATGGGTGAGTTGGGCAGGAAAGTGTCAAGCATAAAAAATGAACTCCTTCAGTACTATTTAAAAGCAATCAATGTTGTCTTTGATTTAGTATTATTCTAAAACATGGAAAACAGCAACAAAGAATTAGTCTAAACTTTCAGCTAATTCACATGAATTTCAAATACAACTGTGCTTCAGTCAAACTGTTTTTCTAATAAAACCAAGGTTTTTAAAAGCATATATTGGCATTGGAAGTGCAGTATGTTTGATGAACTGAAGCTTCTAATCGTACACAGTAAATCTAGTTTAAACATAAACCATGCATTGATTCAGTCCGGTTGAAAGTTTGCTGCCGACAGCTTTAAATTGAAGTAGAAATGTTATATCGTCAGAATCACTCCACCGTCAGCATCTTTTTATTACAAGCTTCGTTCATTTAGGCTCAGATACAGAACACATTGGCACTTTTAATGTGAACACATCTTATCTACATGGGGTTCAGACATCGACACAACACATATGTTAGTGTTTCAAGCATGCAGAAACTCTTCGGATGTCCATCCAACCAGGAAATGACAAGTTAAGAACCTGCTTCTGCAATATCTCTTCGCTGCTGTTGCTTTCTCTGACTGCTAATGTGTGCTTCAATCAAATGTTTGGAGAATCCATACAGATGGAGCGATTCTACCTACTCATTAAATCAATCATCCGTTTTGCCTCGAGGACAAAATGAGAAGCTCTTTAGGAAGATTATGGGCAACAAACCGCAGTCCGCAGACCTCTTATCCAGACGACAGGTCACAGGTAAATGCCATGGAGCCACAGAGTCTGGCGTAATCGCACTTGATGCATCACCGTAGGAGAAAAAAAAACAGTCTGGGTGCAAATATTAAGTAAGTATAGGGAAGGGATTCTGACCGAATAAATGCGCATCCACTTATCCACATACATCGCATTTAAATAAGCGAGTCATCTCCGATTTAGCCATATCTGGCATCTCAGCATATACTCAAAATCACCTTTAAGTCCTTAAGACCTAGCTATAGAAGCGCAGTGATTACAGAAACAGCGCCTTATCCAAAAAACCTGATGAATTACATCAGATGGCACCTAAGTCAACAGATTCTCAGCAAAGAGGGCTCGCTTCCAGGTGCACACTAATCAAAGCCGCAACACCTGTGCATAATATCCAAATACAGCACTTCATAGAGGGTCTGAGTCTATGTGCGTTGGGAGCGCAGTGCCGTGGCTGTCGCAATCCAACTATAGCAGTGAAAGAAAGCAACTGCGCAGTTTTGAGTAGACACGCTCGCAGACATCATGCATGAAAGGAACAGTCGAATGACAGACAGGCAGGCGGAGGATAAAGGAGGAACTAGTGATATAAAGTAATGGGGCAAACGTGTAGCCGCCACACTTACGGTGTTTGCGAAGCGGGAAACACTTTTCAAGGCTTTCAAAGGGCTTCAAAATGTGGAATAAATAATAAAATAGATGTTCAATGAGAGATAAGACTTCTGAAAACCAGGTTGTTGCATATGAAGTTTAAATTTCCTTGTCTGAGATGTAAAAGCCCTGTAAAAGCCTACGGTGTTGATGAAAAAATAAAAGCACTACACGGATTCAACGTAAACTCATCTGAGAGGGAATCAAAATGAATGGGCAGATGGAACAGGAAGATAGTAATGAACAGATACATAATTATGAAGGCACAAATTAAAAAAATATATTTCATAAATGGTACAGGATATCTACCTCAAATGAGATGGCAACCAACCACCTGTTAGGTTTCAATGGTATCCATTTGTAAAAGCTGTCGCAATCAAAGGACCCTAAAAGTGTACAGTTAGTAATGGTGTCAGTATGCATTCTGAGTGAAAAGGCTAATATGTCTATCACTCGTAAATCATTTCAATCACTGCATGTGTTGCTAGCATGAATGCATGTTATCTATAAACTTTAAAGATCAGTCCACATCATTCCCTCAGTCTGATCTAGGTGAACAGCAGGGGAGAGCAAGAATAACTAACACTCAGTAAATAACTCAAACATCAAATTGTAGTGAAAAGATGACAGACTTTTAAAGACTGCATGACTGTAAAGTTGCAAAAAATATTTACTGTTTTTACAAGCTACTAGTACCACTGGGGTGGTACGCCGTTGTACCTTATTTACCCTTAAAACATGAACATCCTTTTAAACAAGTAACTCTCCTTTAGGGCTGATGTTTTTTAACCAATTAATAAAATGTAATATAGTTAAAAAATAAATCAATCATAAAATTTACAGAACAACAACAGAATGGCAATTACAAACCCGATTCCAAAAAAGTTGGGACACTGTACAAATTGTGAATAAAAACAGAATGCAATGATGTGGAAGTTTCAAATTTCAATATTTTATTCAGAATACAACATAGATGACATATCAAATGTTTAAACTGAGAAAATGTATCATTTTAAGGGAAAAATAAGTTGATTTTAAATTTCATGGCATCAACACATCTCAAAAAAGTTGGGACAAGGCCATGTTTACCACTGTGTGGCATCCCCTCTTCTTTTTATAACAGTCTGCAAACGTCTGGGGACTGAGGAGACAAGTTGCTCAAGTTTAAGAATAGGAATGTTGTCCCATTCTTGTCTAATACAGGCTTCTAGTTGCTCAAATGTCTTAGGTCTTCTTTGTCGCATTTTCCTCTTTATGATGCGCCAAATGTTTTCTACGCTTCTACATTTAATGGCTGGAAATTGAAGATATGGGGTTCATTTAGGCTAAAAATCTTCAGGAAAAAAAACAGCAAAAAAACAAACAAAGCAACAAAAAGGTGTTACATTTATTCCTGCTCTCCCCATTTAAATCTTTTACTGCCAAACAATGAAGTAAAATGGAAAGAAATATGTACATTTCAAAGAAGAAGAGAGAATAGAAAGTAAACTGTTGTAAGAAAGAACATTGATTTTTTTCAACAAAGATCAAGTAATTGCATATAATCATTTACATTCATGCCAACAATAACAACATTAATGAATTCATCTGAAATCACAATTCATGCAGCAAACATAAGCAAGAGACAAACACTGTCAGAAGTCACATAGAAGCCTCAATCTGAGCAGGAAAACGGTGAACTTCACTTGTGGCAGGCTCCGGTTCAAACACTGAGCAACCTAAACATTGGCTAGATGTATCCACCTTTTTCCTAACGAGCCTACAGCGTTTTAAATTATGGGAGGCACTTCCGGTTTGGGGAAGTTACAGTCTTTTTGAGTCATTTTAAATCATAAAGCTGCACCACAAATAATCCTTATCTGTCTGTTTGACTGAATGAGCTGTACATTTTCCTTCATGTTCTATTTTCAGACGTCAGAAGAATAACGTCACGCTTAGTATTTTAATGTGACATGGTAGAAGAAGAACATCTATGGCGAGAGCTTTTCAATCCGATGCATTCTTTTCCTCCTGGTTACGTTCTTTCTTCCCTTGTATCCTGCCGTAACAGTATGAAAAAAGACAGCATACACTGCGCATTTGTGGTCTGTTCTGCCGATTTAATTTACAATACATTCCATGAATAATTCACTGGAATGCACTAAGAATCTCAAATTTTTCTGCCCAAAAATCCTAATGTCTCTTTCCAGGTTTGTTTTCTCATGGATGCTTTAAAATATAATTGTCTCCCCTTTGCGTTTCTAATCCCTATTAGCAGTGTTTACTGGAATGTTTCTAAAGCAGGTACATATAATATTTGTAATCTACTGAAATTATGGAAATCACTGAAATATTATCACTCAATGTTAATGTACATTTTGGATTCAGGCAACATATAGACATATATAACCAGAGTGATATTTAACACGTCTGTAATATTGCTGCAATAATCCAAGATTTTGGGGATATTCGTGGTCTGTTGAAAGTCATTTGTTAACGCTTTAACAATTTTCCATTTCCATTTAATGTTCAATGGTTATTATTTTGTTCACAGGCTGACTGTTTACAGTTTAACAGAAGTTACTCCCATAATTTGCGCAAAGTGTCATGGGGCGTAGGAAAATGGTGGATACATTTATAGAAATAAATCTTTTGTAAAAAAAGCTTTTCAGTTTGTGAGGACGCTTCAGAGGCTAACAGAAACAGCAGTTCATGTCAGACAGCTCAAGAAAAAAGTCTTTCTTCCTCCAGAACACTGTCAATCACCAGTGAGATGTTCTGAGGTTTTGAGGAAGATTCTATTTAAATATAATTTATACATAAAAATGTTTTTTGGAAGTTATAATTAAAGATTAGAGTATGTTTTACAAGAAAATAATAGTTCAGTCTTTCTACTTTGAAATGTCAATGTGTTGCTTGCTGTTTCTTTGTAATTATTTGTGAAATCTACTCAAATCTAATCTAGTCTTTTTTCCCTCAAACTATGGTAGAATATTCACTTTCTAAAAACTACAATAGCAGCTACATGAGTCTAAAAGCACTAACTCGAGCAGGGTGGTGAATGCATCAAGTGGGACAGAACAGAGAAACAGTGATGGAGGTGAATAGGGTACTTACAGCAATGCTGTGTCCGAAGCCGGAGCCGGGCTGGGGACTAGCAGCGCTAATGTAGTTGCCCACGCCGGAGTCCTGGCTGGTGGGGCCGTACAGGTCAGCCCCTGGCCCGGGACTGCTGGCTCCAGGAAAGACTCCAGGCCGGGGTGGGTTGGTGCCTGCCGGAGAAGTGGCCGTGCCAACAGTGATGTGAGCAGGGTTGCTAGTCAGGACTGCTGGTGTATAGTACTACTAGCAAGCTTAGCACAATCATGCACTATAAGCAAAAAATGTCATATTTTGAAAGGAAGTTGTGTGTGTATGTCTTTACTGCCTGAGGTGTTTTAGGAATTGTGGCCTAATGTCTTCTTTATGGTGCATCCAAAAGGTATGAAATGAAAAATAAAGAAGCTGGTCATAAATTCTTACACATAAACACACACACACACACACATTGCACAACTAGTCAGCTATACTTCAAGCTAGCAACTACTGCAGCAAAACATCTCATCATTCATGCAGATGAAAGTACACTTATGTATGTCGGACGCATCTTGCCAGCATTCACATGGCATGCATTCTACTCAAGTAGGTTTTTAGGTGAGCTAGACTGCTGTGTGATGGAGATCTATGAATTTTTTTTGTATACCTCTGAGGGCGTTTGTGATGTTTAAAAGTGTGAGTGAGAATGAATTGCTTCCTTCCAGGTTCTTTTCATTATAACCTCACCCTCTCTCCGCTCCCGTACACTCCCTTTCCCCCAATCTCATATCAAGTGCTCTAAACCCATCCTCCTTCAAATTTGACTGCCAGTTCTCCAGTCCCTTTCTGAAAATTGCACGGGGGATTTTGCCACAACACCCCCTATCTAATCAACACCTGTCATTGAGAAAGTTGTTTCTCTCCTCCTCCTCATTTTTTATTATATATATTTTATTTATTTATTATATATTTTTTTAAAATATATATGGCGGTGATTATCTGGCAGTTAGCGTCAGGGGGCTATCAGGCCTAGCAGCCGCCTGGAAACCAGAAAATTGCTGAGGGTGTCTTGGGTAAAACGCGTTGAAGACTGAATCGTGGAGTTTCCTCTCCACTGCGAGTGTGACTTCACTTTTGCTGAAGCTACATTTGAGTCTGAAAGCAGAAACTGTTGAAGATGAAGCCCGGGAGATGAAATTTAACACTCGCCAAGCGCAAATTGCAAGTAAAACTTGACTTTGGTGAATAAATAAAATGTTGCTGGGTCAGTTTGCTAAGAAATACAACATAAAACATATTTTAAGTCAAATTGTAAGAATGATTAACTAGTTGCTTATTAGCATGTCTATTATGAACATATTGGCTGTTTATTAGTACTTATAAAGCACATATTCTGCATGACCATATTCTACATCCCTAATCCTACCCAATACCTAAACTTAACAACTACTAACTATTAATAAACAGCAAATTAGGAGTTTATTGAGGTTGTAGTTAATAGTTTGTTAATAGCGAGAATTGGACCTTAAAATAAAGTGTGAGCGTTGCGTTAAAATAAAGTGACACAGGCAATTCTAATCAAAGATGTTGCGATGTACATGTTTTCTTCTAACAACTTGTGGAATCAGAAGTTTATGAAAGCTTTTAATAGTGCTTAAAGTTTTCTCTAGAACAAACATTCAAAAACAAAACAATATGAGAAATGATGTGTTATGTTTTTATGACAGATGCAGTTTCACTTACAGACACAATCAAAAAGATTTCAAAGGACAAACAGCTGCTAGCTAAATAGCAAAACAGAATTTCATAGTTGGAAATAAATAAGTTACGTAAGATTTCTCAATTGGCAAAAAACTTTTTGTTAACCGAAATCAAGCTGATAAAAACAACACTAAATTAAAATTTTTTTTTTATTAAATCTAGAAATTGTGCAACTAACTGAAATAAGTTTAAACACTACAATTACTAACTAGAAATAAATAAAAACTAAAAGCTGAACTAAAAATAAATACATAAATAACAATATTAATAGTGATATTAAAAAGATTATACATAAATAATATGAAAATAACACTGATCAGATGTCAGATGTGGGGATCCTGGCCACAAAGTTTGTTTGCCGAAGTTGAAACTTCTGAACCTAAACACAAATTCCCAGAGCAGAAATACTGACAAATGTGTAAAAGGAGCAAGGAGGGGCTGGAGGGGGTTTTGGGGAGAAAACTACAATTAGACTAATTATATCAGACCACTTGAGCTATGGCTGCTGTCATTTGCAGATGACCCCTCCATTTCATTGCTGTTGAGAGGCGAATTAAGGAAAATAAAAACAAATGCATGAATTATATTAAATGAACGCTCTCAGAAACTTTGAGGCCCCTTGCTGTGCCATGCTCAATTTTTCTCTTACGTGCGGCCCTCTATGACACTTCCATTAATAAGTGAATATTAAATCAAGTTCTTCCACAGGCGAAGGCCTTCAGATCAGCGCCCATTGAAGGGGGAGTCTATTACTGCAGCAGCCTCCAAAAAACTGAGGAGGGTAAAAGATATCTGTGTGAATGGAATATTAGCCTGGAGGGCTCATGTAAGACAGCAAATATGTTAGATAGGGGGCAATATGCCGCCGTGAGTAAACCGAACGAGGCAGACTCACACAATCCGTCTGCTTTTCACACAAATGAGAACACAGACAACAGGACAGGTGAGCGGCTCTACAGTCAGAGCTCTCACTTCTAAATGTCAGTGTATCAAAATAGCATCAGCTACTTCTAGGGATGATGGGAAAGCATGCATAACCGCCACTAGATCTGAGTGGAAGGGAAAATGGCTGTCGCTAATTCACCACTTGTTTGCAAATAGCCCACTATAATGTAAAATATTACATTGATTACTAAAATAATTTAGTAATTAATATTTTTGTCTTGTTTTTAAGTAAATAATTTCAAGTAAAAATATTAAAACATCTTTAAAAGAAAATACATTTACTTCAGAAGCAAACTTGATTTGAAAACATAAAAGTAAACAAACAACCAAAAAAATAGGTAAGATTAAAAATGCTTTCCAGAGAATATATCCTGAATTACATTATTAGTAATGTTTTAAGAATAATTATTTTCAGTAAAATTTTGATATTTATGATTTAATAATAATAATAATAATAAAAACACTGACCAAAAATATGCTTAATTCAATATATATATATTTTTGAACAACAACAACAAAAATATTTTTGTTTTTCAATTTTTCTTTTTAGGTAAATTAATCTCAGATTTTTTTTTTTTTTACTGAAAACAAACAAACAAAACTGATTAAAATGATTTTGGTGGTCAATATGAATTGAGCAAACACACTATGAAAGACTCTAAAAACAGCAACGTGTCAGACAAATGATGACATGCGTCATAAGTTCTCCTAAGTGTTAACTCCTGTCTTGAAATTGTTCTCGGACTGATCTGGATCAAAGCTTACACACTTAAATTAGCTTTTCCCTTGTCACGAATAAAAAGCTTCTAAAATAAGGGGGGAAACCAGCACACTGTAAGTGACAGCCCTGGTTAGCATCACGTACTGAGCTATGACTGGCTTCTGTATTCTCAATAGACCAGCGCTAATAAGACATGGTGATTCGCTTTTATATCTCCAGAAGCCATCAATGGGGATGTGCTCATTAACAGATCAGGAAATTGTTTTTGTAGCTCAATACGGCTGTGAAATGAATTCATACATTACCATCTATGGTAAATAGTTCTATTAAAAACTCCTATTATGTGCAATGTGTTTAAGAGCATGCAATCATTTAGACTTTCATATATAGGATGAAAAGGAAAGTGTTGCCAAAAGGACACATCTTGGAGGTTAAGTATATTGCTCAAATGGTTGAAAGAAATGTAGAGAACATTATAATCAACTATCATCAATACGGTCAACATTCCTTGGCATTCCCTAACTGGGATCTGAACCAGAAACTGTCTGGTTGCTGGCGTTGATGCCTAATCCACACATGCCTCAATGTCTGCAAGACAGTTTATTAGTCATTATCATGGCTCTTGATGGCACTTTTTCTTTTTTTTGCTAAGATGCGTCTTGTTTATTGCCAAGATCTCAAGACTGCCTTCCTTTGAACTACAGGCTACTGAATATAAAGTGGAGCACTACTGTTTTTAAGAGGGCCGAGCGTCAGTTCTGTGGAGCACTACCAAGAAGCATTAAAAAATATGCCAAGAGTTTGGGAATAGCAAAATTCTTCCCTTTAAATGTGCTGTCAAAACAAAGACATTTTTTCATCCATTCTACACACTCTTCCCATTTTCATTTATTATTTTATGTAATTCTATCTCCAGTGGCCACAAAAAGTATTTGAACACTTCAGCCACATTTAAAATGCCTGAACTTATTTGCATTAGATAAGAAAACATCAAACCAATGGATGATTTTTTTGTTACATCTGAAATTTCTATGGAACTATTCCACTATGATTTGACAACCAGAAAATTCCCAAATACTTTCTCATCAAGTTTAATCTAGTGTTTTATCATTTCAAATCTAACAAACTTATTTTTATGAAATATTTAGCTTGAAAAGTGTGCATGTGTTATCCTTCTTTACAATAAACACCACTTGGTTTGTCATTTTGTATGTACTGCAAAGACATTCATTTATTTTAAAGTGACTTAAAAGGATAGTTCACCCACATATGAACATTCTGTCATCATTTACTCAAGCTCATGTTGTTGTTTTTTCCCGTCAGAACACAAAACAGAGAAATTTCTCGATATCTTCTTTTGTGTTCCACAGAAGAACCTAAGACACAGGTTTGGAATGACATGAGGGTGACTAAATGATGACAGAATTTCCACACAACACACACAAAAGCACACAACAAAAAATACAACAAAAAGGGGATGCTTTAACACACTGTTAAAGCATCCCCTTTTTTGTTGTATTTTGTTTTGTTGCACAGGGACTGTGACCGCAGCCAAATTGGATATATCTCGACAGTACATATACATTAGCAGCCACGTATACAAGCTCACGTATATATGCATTCCCTCAAATCCACAGGCGAAATGACAGTGCTACCACAATTCAACATGCAGCAAACTGCAAGGATGCACAAATCCCTCGCTTTCCCTTCTCATCTGTCCCCCTCTCTCTTTTTCTCTCTTGTTTTAATGAATGGCAGGGTGATGAATAAACCACATGAATCAAATCAATCATTGAATGAAGGAGAGGCGGGTACACACCTGGGCTCTTATACTGATCCGGGCTGGCCAGGTGCTGGAGAGGGGAGTTGCAGGCTGATGTGGCATGCTCGCTTTGCAGCAGCTGAGCCGCCTGGGGGCCCAGGGAGCCATAGTCCGCAAAGGAGAAGGGGGGCCCCCGTTGGTCACTTGGCGAGGAATAGAAACCGTAATCGGGGAAGCCTGGGAGATACAGTACAGGGGAGGAGGAGGAAGGGAGGAGGAGGAGGAGTGGGATTTTTACTATTGCTGCAATTACTATTGCATAGTAATGTTATGAGGCAATGCTTAATATCTGACTTGCATGGTTGTACAATGCAGCGTGCACTGGGAAAATAGATGGTGAGTTTGTAAAGCCACATCTTGCTGTTTCCCATCTGTGTGACTGTGTGTGTGAATGTGACTGTGAGTGTGTGAAGACTTGCTGGCCACCACTTTATACTATACTACTATAAATACTTGGGTTTGCTGCAGACGGAGGTACTGACACACTACAGATCAAATAAGCAAATGGAAGTTGTGGTTTAAAAAACTTTTATTTGATGATTACATAAAAACTGACTGACCTTAATAAATGTTCTGAGAAAGGAACGCTCATCATTAGACATGCTAATTTGGATTCAGCATTCACAAACACAACAAGCATAACTAGAATACCACTGTTATCCGAACCACAAAGCATGCGTTACATAATGTCATCCTCCTTATGAGGTTTATAATATGTGGTTAATTTTTCTTTAATATGTCAAAATATTTACAAATATAAGAATATTTTATTGTGTGTGAGTACACGTGTGTTTGTGTGTCAATCTGTTGAACAAACTATTTTGAGTAAAAGGACTCTTAAATATTACATACAGTGGCCTTAGAAAGTTTTTGGATAGTAAGGTCAGATTAAAAAAAATATGAATGTCATTGCATTATACAGTATCTCACAATATGCATTTATTTTGAAAAAAAAAGGTAAATACTTCCCAAAAAGGGGGTTTTAATAAAGTTCAAAATGAAAATTACTTAAACACTTTTGGGTAAAGTAATTTTGGAAAACAACAACATGAAAAACATCACCATTTGATGCCACTTTGTTTGATATTTCATATCTAATGCGATGATATTCTGACATCTAAAAGTGAGACTTCAGCATCTAAATACTTTTTGGGGCCACTGCACACAAATAATTATAAATAAAATTAAATACTAATTCCCAAAATGTTGCTTGTATACAAATGAAAAACAACTATTACATAACCAAACTCAAGTCTGTCATTCTCTCTGAGTGAAAAGCAGACAAATATGAGAAGATGTAACCAGTGCTTAATTTGTAAATGAATAATTTCCGGATCCAAAAAAGCTATTAAAAGGTGCTGTGACTGACACTGAAAATACAACTCAAGTTTTCCCGGAACATTCAATGATGTCACTAAATGGTGATGCCACAATTATAAGAGAGCATCGTTCACAAGTTTCTGCATTAATCTAACTAGGGCAAGCTTCAAACCCTGGGTCAAAAATGGGTTGCCAGGATGATTTTAGGAAAATTTATATCTAAGATACATTAAAAATAACAAAATTAGAATCTTTCAAAATAAATGCAAAGACAGAACCCGAAAGGGAAACAGAGTCACGTGACAGATACAGTGATAAAGCTGGTATGTGTTTGCAGTACACAAGCCACGGTTAAGGCAGCTGACTCCACTTTGATGTGACCCTCCCCCCCCCATCTCTTTTTCTCTCTTTCTCTCTCTCGCTCTCTCTCCCTCTCTCTTGCACACACACACATGATGCGCAAAACTCCACATTTTAACAGTCAATAGCAAATAATTAAACTAGTAACAAAACATACTTACAGTCGCTGATTCAGAAGCGCCAGATTGTCATAGCAAAGTCAGAATGACCTCCTCTCCGGTGGTTCACAAAATAAATCTGTCAGTGTTTCTTTTTTTATTTTCTCTCTTCTTCAGCCCTTTACATTCCCCGCGGTAGTTAGCTCCCTGTCACCTGACAGCGGAAAGCAGTGACTGGGTGATTGACAGCTAATATTAACCAATCTAAAATCTGCATTAAAGTTAAGAATGTAAAGATGAAGTTTAATTGGTTATGTAGCCTAATGTTTCATAGAACGGCAGATAGGTCACCATATCAACACTCAGAAGGTACATACTCTGAACGTTTTTAGAGAAATTAAACAGGTCACATGACAACAATTATATGCACTCGCACAAATGCTCCCAAATATATTTTGAGGTCGCACAGATTAAATTTCGGGAGCATATGCGACCAAAATGGTCGCAATTTCGAGGCTTGCTATGCCAAGCACATTTTTGCTCATGTGAAGAGGATATTTTTGTCGATATACGAATGGGTGTTATAAATAATAGTTTAATTCAAATACATTGTGAATATGGAAACATTAAGATTTGTGCCGAATGAGAGGTACGTGAGCCCAATAAACGCCTGGTACTTTCAGTTTCGATTTGTTTTGGTTTCTTTAGGTTTATATATTTTTATTTCATTCTTGTTATGTTCTGAATACCGTTACATTTATATGATTTGTTTTGGAGTAAGCTATACTAACGTATAGCTATGTTTATAGTGTTTATAACGGGTGTCCAAACTCGGTCCTGGAGGGCCGGTGTCCAGAAGAGTTTAGCTCCAACCCCAATTAAACACACCTGAACCAGATAATCAAGCTCTCACTAGGCATACTAGAAACTTAAAGGCAGGTGTGTTGAGGCAAGTTGGAGCTAAACTCTGCAGGACACCGACCCTCCAGGACAGAGTTTGGGCACCCCTGGTTTATAATGTTTATACATTATAATATTTCACTTTATTTGGTATTATTTCTGGTAAAGCAGTACCAATCAATGAGAGCGAGCAACTTAAGAAAGCTGACTGGTCACGGTCAAAAATATGTTGAGGACCAATACATAACCTCCAAATACATAAATCTGTAGCTGCACTGCTCTGACCTTCTCCAATCACTCATTAATTATCCACCTCTAGTCTGCTGACTGCTCAGCTCAGCCCAAACATTAAGTCTACTCTAATGGAAAAACAACAACGGCTGCATTTTTGGTCACCAAACACATTTGTTAAAGACCCAGAGATTTGTTGGTATTGCTTATACACTACATGGCCTAAAGTAGGTGGACACCAGTTTAATTCTCAAACAAAAATGTTCGTAAACCAATTTGTTTTTTTTTATATTTCATCATCATTAACGAAGAATGTCTAAGTCATACTGTGATTATACTCTTTCCGCAACAACTCACTAAACCTAATTTATAGTACCTTACGTCTCTTCACAACAAGGACTTGTTTTTTAATCCAAAAAATGTTTGAATATTTGGTTTAATTAGGCACTGGTCAAATAAAATGTTGTTTTCATGGATCAAAATGAGTAAAACTGACTAAATTAATGAATATGACAAATAAATATTAAACTGAAATCTCCTTACACAAACATATAAAGTAGAATGAGGTGCACCAAAGCAAAATACATAAGGATATGGTTTTAAGGATAAGGTGTGGAGGAAATTGACTGGCTTACACAAACCCCAAACTTGAACCCCTATTGAAGAAGACCTTTGAGAAAGTCAAATCCCTGCAACCAGAGGAGTAGAAGCTGTCAGGAAGGACTGACTCCCCATTAATGCCAATGGTTTTGGAATTAAACAAGCACATACAGATGTGGTGTTTGCTGTCCACATATATTTGGCTATGTAGTGTACCTTTCTCGGGCGTCTTTCCAAGAAAAAGCTAAATAAAATGTGTTGCAAATTCCTATATTTGCATTCTGTTTCAGGGACTGCCAAAACAGACCGGAGAAATTCATAGGCACAAGCACTGAAAAGATGCTTACGAACAGTAAACAGAAACGAGCATGAAAATCCCCATCCTGCCAGTACCTACACTCCCAAATGCGAATAAATCACAGATGCATCCCGCCGTTCAAGCTCTCTCCCGCCAACTGTGCAAAAACGAAGGAAATGCCTGAGGTATGCTCAGAATCTTCAAGTGTTTCGGCTTCCCGGAGAGGAGGGGAAAGCCCACTCCAGTGCACACATCTTTAATCATTTAAGGGAAGCAACCAAAAATGCACTTGAATGCTGAATCCATTTTTGATGGGCCTCTAATAGATGGGCGTCCTTGAGGTTCAAAGGGAACCCTGGACGCTCCTCTTAATTAGACAAGCTGCCATCCCGTCCTGTTTCCCCTCATCCTCCTAATTAGATCTTTAACAACAAACAAATGAAGACCTTTTACAGGCGCGTGTTGCACGGCCCACTTCGTCCCCACCAAGAAAAGGAAACGTCCTTTTTGTCTAACGCTCCCCGGCCCTGCCACGTGCGACAATGGCTGGGTCCTGCTGCAATCTGCATAAATATTCCGCCTAATTTCCATGGAGTGGGAACAGTGGGACACAAAATACGGCATTACTGCATGTACAACAAACACACCTGGTTTCTTTGTTTGCATTGACATAGAAAATTAGACCTGAAAAGCTGTTTGTTTTAATGCAGTGGCAGGAAAGGTCTTATCTAATAACTGCCTGCAGAAATTACGTTTATTATCCAGGTAGATCACGTCCAATGACAGTGCTATCTGAAGCAGAAACACGGAATAAAATGCAGTTAAAAAGTGCCCATTTACTGTCTATAGAGAAAGCCATCTGGCGGAATAGGGCTGCTTGATTACCTTCGCCGGCTAATTCTCTCTCTAAGCGCATACAAATGATTCACTTTGACCAAGTGGAAGTGAGGGAAAAAAAAGCTAAATTAAACACTGCCGTTTTTAAACATCAAAAGTTGCCACAATAATGGCTCCTCCGTGATGCTCCACAGTATTGTACGCTGCCAATCAGACAGAGAATAGCACTCGGAATGTGTTATGCCTCTGTGAATAACTCCGGGATGAAGCGAGGACACAGGGTGTGAGTTTTGCGTGCAACTATGTGTGTCCTTCCATTAATAGGCACCGCGAACACTTTCTTTAACTGCAACCCCACAGTCAAAACTACACAAAAAGCTTAATATCTTCTCTTCTCCCTTCACAAAAACAAATACAGTACTGTGTTGTGTACCATGGGCCTCTCCCCTTCGCTCAAAGAGAAATCTAATTACTCTATAATGGCAGGTTTGGGGGGAGCGCGTACATCGTTGACAGGTGATAGATGCGTAAAC